GATCTCTCAGTATGGTAGAGAATTTAAAAAGTTGGAATACTCTCCTAGTAGACAAAAACTGCTCATTTATGTGGCACTTCTGCCAATTACTTTTAGCTCGGGTATCATGCAATAATTTCCTTGCGTTCGCGAGATCCCCTTTTTGAAACGAAGCTCATCCCGGCTACCGTGCACGGGAGGGTCCGGAGAAACCAAGGCGTTCTTCCGGATGGTCCATTACGCATAAGCACCTGTGCAAATTATATCCGCACGGCATAACACACGCAACACTTCCTTGCTAACAACACTAAGGTCATCTAGCAAAGTAGTTGTGAGTTCTTGCTCATGTGATTATTCAAATATTTAATCTGTTCTACATTGTTCACCATGAAGCTTTTTAATCTTGTGGACGGCCGATGTTTCTACCTCTTTAGGCTGTAGTCTGTTTCATCAGTAACTGATAATTGACAGTAATTTTATCATTATCCAGATATACATCATTTCTGCGCTCAGAAAAGCTTGCTGTTGAAGTTTCGTGGCTTAGAAAACGGCAAATAAATTAAACAAACCATTTTGGTGTAGTGGCGCGCTGCACATGGTGCTGCCCGTGATGTGGCACGTGGTCCGCAATGGGTTGGTCCAGCAAAAACAATAAGTCCCACTCAAAAAACATTGTGGCTGGCGAAAATCTGGCATTGATTTCACATGTTTTGATTTTCTTGAAATGGCAACCTCGCACCGATGAGGAGTGATGTCGTTTTCAGCGCTCACTCCTTTTGTGAAACCTTGAGCGATCAGGATGGTAACGTACTTTGCTTTGTAAAATTCCTTGTTGAAATGCCACACATTTCTACTCGGACTCGACCTTTCAATCACTAATTGCTACGCATCATACTGAGCATTTTAGTGTTTTTCTCGAAGCGCTCATTTCACCGAAGTCTGCACATACATACACCGTTCTATGAATATGCTCATTTAGATATTCAAAACCATGTTGCCCAAGCGAATAGGTAGGGGTTTTTACACTTGGAAATAACGTCTAATGGCAGCTGGTCCATCTGCAAGGAAGGAAATTAAAAAAAAACTTCAACCACATCCCATATTGATGGCATGGCGGGTTTGGCCTTAGGGATTTTCACTGATCAGCCGCTCCTCTGATATGAAGAACTACTGTAAAGTACGGTAAAGAGATGAGACCCTAGTAGGGGAGGAGCGAAAAAAACCGCACAGTATCGGCTTGCAATGTGCTTCCAAGGGTATTTCTTGCTGTTTTTACGGTTTTCTACAGCGGCCCACATCAACACCACTACTTCCTCTCTCGAAACGACGAGTAACCTAGCTATTACGATCCGCGAACGCGATTTTAAAAAAAACTCTGAGTTGAATCATTGATGCACATCAGAAAATTTGATCAACGAGTATAGATTAACGGACAACTCCGAGTCTTCTCACGTTTATTTATTGCGCCGCACACTCCGCTTCCATCCAAAAATTGTAGGGCTTTTCGGAATCTCCACATATTTGCCTTTTATTACATCTTTCCCAGGCAACCCTATCTCGGCTCTGTTTTCGGCACTGTCTGCGAAAGCAATCTCAAGGGTTAGAAAGCATTTCACGGAATAATCATTTCCTACCCTGGATCGTTTCAAACTGCCACTTTCGTACAGTAAGCCAACCGAAGACGAAAAGCATGGAGTTACTTACCATTCAACTTCCACTCAAAACAAAAGAACACTATAAGGAGCTTCACTCAGAAGTCTCCATTATGAAAACAGTTCTCAAAGGAACCTGGGCATCGTAAGAGCGCAGCCAAATCTGCGCCCCTCCATATGCATGCTTGCTTAAAATTAAATCTCGGATCGAGTGGTGTACAAGCCACAAGCCTTCCTTCTTCTCGGGCAGGTTACTTGGGGCTTCATCAGCCTGATGAGATGAGAAAAACGATCTGTGACTTGGAAGTTACCTTGAAACAACTGCGGAAACCTAACAAGGGAGGTCTTTCAGGGCAAGGTGCGCTTTTCTCAAAACGGTTTTGTGCATATTTTAGGGACGCATGTAGGGAACGCAAAACCATGTTTCATTTTCGCTGAACGGTTATAGCAGTACCAAAAAAGAAGCATAAGGTACTGTTAAGGGTTCGATCTCCCTCGTGGCGGTCTCCAAATTTTGCATTTGGGTTGGCGCCTACGGTTTGGTGCCAAATCGCGCTAAATATCAAAATCAGATGTCAAATTCATCGTCAGGACCATTTTGAAGCCAACAAGTGGCCGCCAACCTTGATTGCAAAATTTAGTCGCCGCGGGGGATTGAACCATCAAGAGTATTATTCACCACTTTTTTGGTACTACTAAAACCGTTCAGCGAAAACGAAACATGGTTTTGTGGTCCATACATGCGTCCCTACAACATGTACTAAACCGTTTCCAAAAAGCGCACCTTGCCCTGAAAGACCTCCCTTGTAAGTCTTAAAAAACATTGTTGTATAGGCGATGCAACGCTACAGGGAGGCAATAGCTTCGATTGGTAGTATTTATCTTCGTTTCATTAGGGTTTCGATCACAACGGATCTTTTTCGAATGGCCAAAAAGCTTCTGTGAAACGACATGAACGTTTTGGATGATGACCAGGTTTTCTTGGGAATTCCAAGTCCTGTAACTCCATTGAGGTGAGTGGGGTCACAGCGCTTTCTGATGATTTCACGAGCCTGTCGCTTACGACTATTTTGAGAAAATATCCACTCATACTAATATATTAAGTCGTCAAAGACACTAATCATAGGAAGCACAGGTTGCTGCGTGCAGTTATCATATTAAAGATATCTCATTTTATTTCTAATTAGACTTGAAAAAACTACTTCATGTGTAGTTGTCCTAAAGTTGCACACAGGGGTCAACTCAACCACAAATTTGGTCTCAGTGTTCTCCTCCTGGACAGCCTTGGCAGCTCTCATGTGGCACATTGAACAGAAAGCCCGGCTGACCTGGCTGTGATTTGACTCACATAATTGGGGCCTGCTGACCCTACTATGAAGCTATTTTATCCAGCAATTCTTCCTATAGGGCCAGCACTAAGCAATGGCAAAATCTCCACTCTCAAGAATATTTGTCCTCGATTCCTCTCTGGTGCGTGAAGTGCTCGCAGCTTCGAATGACACAGAATATTTTGAATTTAGTTTATTAATATCTATACATTACAAAATATAAACAATCTGCAAATATTATTTACAAAATAAGCTGGCAATGAAGAATAGTTCTAAATTGGCAGCACGAACAGAACGACAGCGAACAATCAAATGCTAGATCTACACAGTAAAGCGAGTTAGCCTAAAGACAATGAATAAAGTTCACACCGGACTGCATATACCCGTACATGGAAAACGACTGAGATTCTCGAAAGGAAACATTTGGGAACATCTTTGACCTACTGGTAATCACCAAGTGTCTCCTTGTGGTGTTGTTGCCTGTGGTCGTGACGGGACCTTTTAGACAGACTCCAACCCAGAGTCATGGCCTGGTCCGATTGAGGAATTAGGCGAGATGTGATGATAAAGATGAGTTTGGGGAATCGTGCAGCCGGATCGGAAGCTGTATGGAGCAACAATTGACGACTGAGCGCCGAGTGACGATGCGGAGTCAAGCGGAGAGGTGGTGGTCGCTTCAGATTTCGACGACGATGACATCCAGTAAGTGAGCGGACGCGTCTGCTCCCAAGGCATATCGTACCTGAAAGCGTATCGAATCAGGTCAGGCGAATCCACTACGATGAGATCAATCATAACTCTTGAGGGGCGAAGGTGTGAGCTGATGGACATTAATCATCGCTCGTCCGGTCACGCACGCATATCTCACCGTCGTGCGATGATATATGAGGTCTATTACAAAAAGTACGCGAGACGAGATTGCGAGGTGAACAGCAACAGCTCTACTATACACCGACTAGGAAAGGTAAGAGGAGGCAGAGGAGAAGGAAGGGTAACGTACCGATTCTCATCGTCCGAAGTTTTGCAGCTCGTGGGGGAGTACGGGTGGAAAGCGGGGTTTCACGGAGATTTGACGGTGAGTTCTGAAAGATAACCAGTGATAATCAACAAACACAAGCTGATCCGAGTTTTGGGGAAATAGAGCTTTGTTCTCATGTAAGGTAAGAAATAATGGCGCTATCGCAAGATACGGGGGCATTGTGGTGGCAGTGCATTCAAAACCGCGTAGAAACATCTCCTTTTGTTGAATCAGGACTAAGCCTTAAGCGGGAAAGGAGAGACTCCAGAAATGTGTGCAATTTCCATTTCCCCCAGTGCCTGCTGCCTCCTAGCTTATTGTTAGTCCTAGGAGATGCCCCCGTATATTGCGATAGGGCCCGAATAATAACTTTAAACAGGTTTTTTTTCAATTTAAGATATGGATGGTTTTGAAAAAAGATACGGTAACTGTGTCGTTCGACGATATGGCAAATTATATGCGTAATTGACAAAATCTTTGAGAAAATCCTTTCAATCAAAAAAGGGGAGTTTCTCAAGGGGTCCTTCATCCAATAACAAACCCGAGTGAGTATAAAAATGCAAAAAGTTGAACAATTTTCTCGATCGAACGAACCTCTTCTGTCGAAGAAACGCCACCAGCACACATGCGAAGCCGATCGAAGCCAAAATGGCAATTCCAGCCAGGACCAACACGGAGACGTGCAGAATACGGTCGTCGCCACGCAGGTGGGAAAGTATAGACGCTGAGAGAACGGATGGTTCATCGGGCAACTGAAATGGCCCTGATTTAGTAGGTGAACAGCGATCACAGCAGGCGGTCGCCACGTAATTGAGCACCCCCATCGAGGGTCACTCAAGCTAACTTCTCACAGGTCATTCGCCATTTACCAGGACATTGATGTCTCAAGGGGCGTCAGGTGCTCGACTTTACAAGTGTTCCAATATGGTGGCTTTTAGATGAGCCCGATCTGCCCACATAATGTGGGAAAGGTAAGTAGGTACTCTACATGTCGCCCGGTAAACCCTAGGGACTCCTGGAGCCCTGAGGAAGGAAAACTCCAATAACAACTGGCTGATTTTTGCCATGTAAATTGATTCCCCCAGTTTCGAGGCCAACGTTGAGAAAAGTTGCGAGTTTTTTTGAGATCAAATCTTTCAAATAACCACTTCCATTTCCTACCGTAATGGGGTTGAGTAAAGGATGAACTCCTGATGTAATTGATTTAAAAACTTCCAACAATTATTCCGTAAAAAGAAGGGTTTGCAAAGAAATGTGAAATGGAATGAAATGAAATTGCTTACCCTTTGTTCGATCAGAGTCACGTCCGAGGGATCCGACACAACACGACAGGCTCTCGGTGTGTTTCTTGTACGGCCACACAGTGGCGTTGAAGCATTTACCACGGATCTCGATCAGCTTTTTACCGAGGTCTTCCTCGGAAAGCGGCGTTTGAGTGGTGCTCTGATGGCGACGATTTCGACCCTAGAACATGTCGCTGTTAGGTCACCACTATAACTCCTCGTCACTGACAAAAACACTCGTCATTGCGCAACGGCAGCTGCTGTAGACGGTATTGTCACTCCACTAATTACGGTCATTAGGCACTGGGAAACGAAATGTTTCAAACTCACCACAAATGCCTCGATGATACGCTCTTGGAACACGCGAATCGACGGGGTTTGGTCGCAAACTCGTGGGAAAGCCGTAGGTGGGATCAGTGCCGACCACTTGGCACGACATCGTCACATCTTCGGGTTTGCCATTCGTCCAGTGCGAGACGAACGGACGCGCAGAATCCTGCAAAGAACAAAACCTTAACTTGTAAGCGAAGTGAGAAGCTTCCTGAATGTTTTGACCTACTTCACTCGACTTATTATTTTTATTTATTTTGTTTATTTGGTCATTTCTATGCAGTTAAAGGTGCGCACAGTCAGCAAGCTTACCACGAAGGAAAAGCAATGGAACGATAAAATTATTATCAAAATAAATTGTTACCAAAATAAACCAATTCACTAAGATTTTGCTCCATGTTTTTTGCTAGCTCACCTACAAGTACTGCACTTAGCAGTGGACATTGGACGGCCGCTATCGCAATATACAGGGCACTGTGGCGGCCAAGGCGCTCAGAGCCGTTGTTAAAACACCTCCGTTTTGGCAAAATGGGGACCAAGTCACAGGCGGGGAGGAGGAGAGACTCTAAGATGCGCTAGCCTATTTGCATTTTTCCCGGAGCTCTTGCCATCTCCTAGGCTTAGTCCTGGAGGTTGCCTCCGTATATTGCGATAGCGCCCTAATCTTCTAACACTGCTCTTTAGTTTAGCGCCATGCCTTGGTTTCATCCGCCAGTTTTCTAGGCTAAACGTGACTAGAATTCGAAGAACTTTTATAATGAAAGGTTAACAGCGCCGCTAGCGCAGCACCGTTCTTATTTTCCCCGAAGTTTCTTCCAATCCCATGCTTAGTTCTAGAGGATGCCCCCTTATATTGCGATAGCGCCAATGTTTTTGAAATACGACCCACCACGATCTCAATTGATCGTCCCAGCTCACTTGAAAGTTCCCAAAAGCCCGTTACGTAAGCGCTGATTGACAGACTAATTACGGTACTTCACAGCGTTTGCCGCACGATGACGTGAACGCAATTGGATACGGTGGTCAGAGTGCAACATTTGCGACATCGTTACTGGTAATCTACGGGCAGTAAAGTCGGCAACCGGGAAAGATCGAGTCGAGGTCATAAATTCGCGACGAGACAATACCACCGGATGGACATAGCAGTAGTAGCGGTAGCGCGGAACACAGTAAATCTCAATTAACAGATGCCATTAAAGTACACTAATTGTGCGGTCAGATCAAAGAACAAACCAATCAATAACCATCAAAGCAATAGAGCTGGTCAATGGAAAAATTGAGAGAAATCGCTTACCTGAACGAAATGTTCAGAGACAGGCCAGCTAATGGAGACCTTCTCAGTGAGAGGAAGCATGTCTTGGAGAATCTGTAAAAAGGACTAATTTTTCAAGTTTTTAAGGATTTTTTACAGTCGGGTTCTAGAGGTGAAAGCTTACCTTGAATCTGGGTTGAGAGCAACCGGCAGTGGTTAAGCAACCTTCTCGCCAATCCACTCGTAGTAATTCGGCAGTCATCCAAAAGGAATCCGCCACAGTAACAGGCAGTAGAATGAGCAGCAAAAGCAGCATCTGAAAGTGGGTTGTTGATGGAAGAGTTCAAGAGACAACAACGAGGTAAACAATCGAAACAATCAAGCACCACATAGAAGATTTTTGGATGAGGTGAGCCATTTTGGTGAGGTGGACGCAAGGTGACAGAAGGGGCGGCCCGGGGCTGGTGGCACCGCCCACTAATTACGCATGCGCATTTGCGCATGCGGGAAAAGCCTAAGTCCGAGAGGGGGATAATCACTGTTTTAGATCAAAGGAGAACAGAACAGCTTATTGATGGCACCGTAAGAGCGATAATTCGACGGAAATGAATGGCAGAAGCAGCAGGATCATCTGGCTGCTATTAATTTCAACATGATTATGATCTCGTGTCTTCATGATGAATTTGTCTAGTAATGCTTCACTGAGCAAAGACGGCTACACTTGATTTGCTCCCTTTGCGTAAGGAATCAAAATCAATTTTAAACTTTCAGCCTAAAAACCTCTGAAAAAAGTACAAGGTCTAGAAAGTGAGCTGTAGGTCTTCCATGGCCAAACTCCGAGCAAACTTGAGCTTATCTTTGATTACAAGCAGGCTTGGTCATTCGGTTTGAACCTCCTTTAGGAACTCCCTACTGAACAACCTGGCCTGCTTGCAGTCAAAGCCAAAAGTGTACAGCGGCTCCTAACCTCGCAGAACCGAGAGAGCCAAGCGAGGACCACCCAGAGATATATTGGAGGACGTTAGAAAGACAGAATGGAGTAGTATATTGCTCCAGCAAAGGGAGAAATGCCTGAGAAGTTGGTTGTACTGCTGAGTAACTTGAAGGGAGCCCTCAACTGAAAGATTCGGAACGAAAGATAAGCACTGTAAATTCATTTGAGTCTCATTCTCCTAGCGCCCCATACGATTTTGTCCACTCTTTTTGAGAACTCTCCTTTTTGAAACGCAGCAAGTGAGTCCAGAATGCGAAGGCCTTATCAAGTGGTTGGAAGCATGGTCGAAGTAAGGAATTGGCTTTGCCTTCATTAGCAGAATGCTAGGCGGTCAGTATTGAGAAACCTACGCATCAAAACTAGTAAACACGATAAGAATTGATAAGAACCTGCAAAATTGAATCAGTCATTTGTTTGAACAGCGAATTGGGTCAACGGGTCCAGGTTCAAATTCTGAGGTTGCGCTAAGGAAAGTGAATGAAAAATGCGCCAATTTAGCCAATCCGCTAAACTCCTCAAGCATGACATATCCGGGATGAGCCATGTTATCAGCACTGCTAATCAGACCGTGAGCTAATGCCACTACCACCTGAGATCTAATCGTGAGGTAGATGTGTATCGTGAACACGTACGCGCTGCGTTACGTCAACCACATGCTATGAGTGTGAAATCAGATAAACTTCACCCCCAGAAAGCCCCTTAAGAAGCCACCGCGCTGAGGTCATCAAACCACAGTCAACAAACAAAAGCTGATAGCGAGCTGCACGCGTCGCCTAGTGATAAGAAGAACAAGACAGGAACAACAGGAGCCGAGACCGTCACCATGGAAAACTGATCCGGCTGGAGGCATTTTATACGGACGCGCAGTTGGGCGTTTATCCTGAGAAACAGGGCACCTCCCATTTTGGAGGGCGTCTGGGATGGATACCTGTCGGACCACGGATCCGTAGCCGCGGATATTTCTCTCCTGCCACCTATGGCCGCAGGAGCCATTGGACATCGCGACAACATGGGTTACTGGGAAAACCACCGTTTCGCTGCTAATTACATGAGAAAATTGTTAACATTGGGAGGTGATAGCCCGAAATCTTTCGTCTTGGGAAATGGCCTTTTACAATGAGTTGAAGAGGACCGAAGAGTAAATTTTCCTGGAAATCTCATCATTTGTGGAATAGAGCATTGAAAGACAGATTTCAAGGCATTATTACACCAAATCAATATTGCGACATTTTTGGTCGTTTTTTTATTTTATTTTTGTTTCTTACTTTTTTAGATTTACTTTGCCCTATTTGGAGCTTGATAGTTAGGCCATACCCGACCTCCCTTACTGAGAATAATGATCTTCACATTTCGTCCATAACACCCATGAAAGGTTCTGCTCCCACGATGCCGGTCAAACGGGCATAACGGACATGAAAAACGCCGACGCTATGGCGCCGTTGAATTCTTGTGAACGAACCAAACCGTTGAGACCATCAAACCAACACTTCTTTCCCAGATTACAATGGCCAATACCCAAAATCGATTTGGGCAGCTAATCGGACATAAATAGCTGCCAAATCTTTAATTGCCTTGGTACTAAATAATTCCATTAAAGATTAGTCCTAAGGGAGCGTTGAGATGGCTATCATAAGATAAGGTCTAATGGGTGTAATTTTGCTGTGAGAAACACGGAGACATTAGTTTGGCCTTTTCAAGGAATATCACATGAAAGTGCTTCTTTACCTTTCCCTATGCCATCATCTAATGCGCTAAGGAAGGAAGAAGCCTCCTTCTGGGTTACTAGGGGAAGTGTTATTATTATATGCCCAACTCTAGGTCTAAAGAGCGTTTTTGGATCTCCGAAGGATAATTGTCAGTTTCTGAGACCTTCACCGAAATTCTGGAATTTTGGTACCGACATTGAGCCTGGAGGGAGCAGAGGGGTCAAAGAGTTGTTTTTAAGACAAAAATGTGGCCGCCCTCTCCTGAAGCGTGCCGAACCGACTGGCACTCGGTACAGATTCTATTCTTGATGGATCTCCTGACAGTTCTACAATGTTGCAATTCCCAAAATTGAATCAAAGGACCGAGACTAATCCAGGATGTGGGGTAGCGTATCCTTGCGCGGTGTGAAGAAAAGCGTTCAGCAAAATTAACTTAGGGGACAAGAGGATTCTTGCCTCGTAGCGCCCCCCTCGACCATACGCACCATATTCACACTGACTTTCATTGTATGAGTAGCTTACAAAAGCACCTCTATGTATCATCCACTTTCCTCACCAAGCTTAACAGAATGCTCGTACATGAAAATCTATTTACCTCAGCACCCGCACAACAAACCTCCAAGTAAGCGACCTTGTAAAATGTCACCGTTCCCCGAGAACTAGACTGCTCGTCGAGTGCAGACCACACAACACAAGTGACGACGACCACCACAAAATGTAAATGTTTTCTGCTAATGAAATGATTAGCCGTTGCAGTTGTATTCTACCAGTTGTGACTGATTACAACTACATATCATTTACAAATAACAGCTATCGGTAAAGCAGCACCCAGTTATCAGATTCAATTCGAGGTGGCCGTACGTTCCACTTGTGGTGTGATGGTCCGCACTCCGCAGGAGCCCGTCTGGTTCTCTGGAACGGAGGGTACGGCGAGTCGCGCGCGGGAAGAACACGATCGCCCCTTAACAGCTTTTTTGAACAGTGATTGCTCACGCTTTCATAATAGCTGTGGGGTAAGAGGATACACAAGCAGACGGCTTTCTTCTAGTAGCCCCAACGCCCAAACTACATTCCACCCTATCGACACTCGTCGGCTGCCCTTGAGCACGAAATGAACAAAATGCCAGGAAATCACTACCGAGGGTAGAATGCACAGAAAACAACCGGGACAAGGAAAACACTTGTCGGGTTGCGTAAGTCGACGGGGACGCGACGAAAAGATGTCAATCTGGTCGTCGATGCCGATAGCAATCTACGCGTGCTACGTAGTCGTGGTTCAAGGTGCTTCACCTATGGAAATCCCGGATGATCGGAACCGGACAAACTCTGCGCCTGATGTCTCGCGCAAGTTGGCCTTCAGAGTGGCAAGCCCTTCCGCGCGCCAGCCTAATAATTGGCTGACAACCTGTTATTTTCCAACGTTGGTAAGGGGAGACCTCAACAGCGGTTGTGATGAATCGACTTCGACAGGCGCTTTCCAAGTTTCAGAAAACAGCGCTAATCTATTGATCGTTATCGATCGAGAGAGAAACTAAGGTGAAATTGCATGAGAACTTGAAGGAAATCGGGTTCGGGGAAGGCAGGTCAACTTATCGGGTGGCTGATTGGACTGATTTCAAAGCTGCGGTTAGGCGGTTTTGCTTATCAGTTTTCTCCCGTTGTTTTGTAATCATTCAGCTATGGGGCCATGCTTCCACTATTTGAATATTGCCAGAATATTTGCCTATGGCTCGAGCCCAAATATTCTTGGTAGCGCTGTCTGGATGGGCTACCTAGACCTATTTAGTCCATCAACATTTGTCACCTCTTTGGGAAATGCCTTGGGGTGGGAACATCAACCAGTTATCGAGATGAAAGCATGCCGTCACCTTGTATGAAGTGTTTTTGTCGGCGGAAACGCGGTGTCATCACCTGATGGTCGAAAAGGCCTTGGGAGGCTCCCGGACCTGTCACTTGGCCGTTAACGCACTGCGAATTGTGGCGCCGCTTTTGATGTTGGGGACCACGGCGCATTAACACATCGCCGTCGGCACGAAAAGTGCTTGGACCACCACCTCGAACTAATTAAGCACCGTAAATCCGGTGTCGGTGCAGGGTCTGTGATCTCGATCCGCATGACTAACATCCATTGGTAACGGAGCAATTTCGGACGCGAAAGTGCCTTGGAAACCATAGGAGCAGGGGGTACCTAAGATCTATTTCAATGCTCAAGAAATGAGCTGAGGTCAGCGGGCGACCTCATCCCCTCTCAACCTCTGAGATGCTCTTCAGAAGCTGTTTATACGGTCAAAGCTCTACTCGGGCGGCGACCGTCGCCGCTCTTCTGTCGCTATGACCGCTCTTTGAAATCGGATATGCGCAAGCGATATGCCAAAGAACGGCTTAGCGCACCTTTACAGAGATGACTTGGCTTAGAATCAATAGTGCTCCAGGAAAAATCGATAGAACAGGCCTACTATGGAAGCTCAAGCGATTGCAGATAACCCCATGGATGAAGTGGGAGAGCTGAAGGGGACAACATTCCAAAGTGATAATTTCAATTTTGTGATCACCATCAAAAAGTGCAATGCATGTGTCTTTAATTGTAGTACAATTAGGAGTGATTGATTGCAAAAA